TAAAAAAAAATCATTGATGAAGGAAAAAGTATCCCATACTGCAGAGAATACACTTAGTCTAATAGCCTTGGAAGGTAGTGTTTTACTCTTCAGTGTGTGTGTGTGTGTGTGTGTCCATGCTGTACCTCGTGGTTGAACTTAATTTAACAAGGAGCTGACCTGCTTTATAACCAGCCCTTGTCTTGATGTAATTCTGGGGAGAAGAGTACATGTGTCATTACCCTCCCTTCAAGAGATCGCATTCTAGATGAGGAAGCAAGCAGGACAGGTAAGGAAGTAGAAAAGAGCACCATTCCTGAAGTCAGCTGTTGGCTTACGTACCTAAAGCCTACCACTGGCAGACATGAAATTGCACCAGTACCGCTGTGGAGCACCTTCAAGAGCTGTATTCTGTAGCAGGTGCTGTGAGGAATACAAAGCAGGGTAAATTCCATTTGTTAGCTTCAAGAAACATAATCTACTTGAAAATATAAGGTTAACATCCAAGAAAAGACACAAGATGGGAAGGCAATAGGCGTGGGCTGTTACTGGAGGAGTGGGGCATACTAGGAGGTGATGAATGCAGGATTTGTGAGCCACTGGCTAAATCACATATAAAACTGGTCTTGAACTGTCATTGAAGGAACAGAAGAAAGGAGAATTAGAGGGGAACGGGTGGCCTATGAAGGTGAGCTTTGGGCGAGGCTGTGCCCTGTGACCCGCTCAGCTGAGGTGGAGGACTCATTTCAGTAGAAGCAGGAAGAAAAACTGAAAGGTGGGAGGAAAGGGTAGATGCTCTGAATGACATCAATGTGTACATTTTATTTTGTCACAGTAGCTCAGACTTAAGATAGAGTGAGAAGATAAAAACAGACTTATGGACAGTCCTTCTAGACAGTTTAATGTTGTTAAAGAGTTTTGGGGTAGATATGATTATGAATGAAGTAGAGCAAAATAATTTATTACCAGTCAATTTTCACATTAATTCCATAGTCATAGCATGGCTGTAAGTGCTGTTCTACTTTATTTTGTCCTTGACTTTCTGGGCATCTAAGGGTTTGGATAGTTCTAAGAATGGTATGCCCACAGTGATGTATTCTGCCCTTCTACTTGCTGTGCTGTATAATCTGCTGAAGTAATGCAAGCACAGAGATTGCGTAGCCTCTGCAGTTTGTCAGTGGTAGCTTTCATCAAAGCCTACATGTTAAAATGTGGAGACATCATAATGGGCACTATTAACATGATCCACTGTGTCTGGGACATTGGCAGGATTTGCATTCACGTATTTCTCCGCAGCAACCTGTTCTGTTAGTTGGAAATCTCGTAGCCCAGGACCTTTGTTGATCTCTTGGAGGAGTCAGTTGGGTGCTATGTGACCTGCTGCACAGGAAGGGTCTTCAGGGCAGGGACGTGGCCTGCTGCCTGCGAAGCCTATGGAGTGCGATCGTAGGGACGTTGCTATGAGCTGGCCCTGCACCGTGGACACAGCAGAGACAGAGAAGGCATTTGGCTGCCACCAGATCTGTGGCACTCGCAATGGCCAATTTGCTGGGATTAACAGAGGTCTGGCCTAATAAATGTGTCCGCTTGCCTAATAGATTTGAGTAAATGAACCTTAAAATTCTTGATTTCATTTAACATTGGGCACGGGATAGCAGGGCCAATGGAGAACTCAAGAATCCTGTTGAGTGGTGCAGCTTAGCGGGGAAGGAGAAATCGGCCGTGATGCCGCAACTGCTGTGACAACCGAAAGCAATATGGAAAAGAGAATTAGCCTCTACCATTCCCTTAGCAAGGATGCCCGCGGCCTGCCACCCACAAGCAGCTCCACTCGGTGCCGAGTATTAGCCATGGCTCTTGCCCAACAGGCTGGCAGGATGGGCTGTGCCTGCCCATGTCACATGGGGTTTCCCCTGGCCTGTAGTCCTTCACCTTCACTTGCTCTAGAGCTCCCAGGATGCAGCCAGACAGAGATGAGATCGAATGCGCCTGTACTGAAGGAGCTTCCCTCTTTCCGAAGGCATTCCATGGTCCAGGACGGCACAATCACCCACGTCTCAAAATAAAAAGACAACACAAAGGAGGGCACCATGCACACCAGGGGTGAAGCTTTTCCTTAGAAACACACCAGGGCGTGAAGGTCGGGCTGGGGTAAGAGACACTTGAGGGCAGTACACCAAAAGGAAGGGACAGTGTGGTGTAGTCCTCTCTGAGATGTTCAGGGAGGCAGGAAAAGGAAAGCATGTTGATTATTTCTTTTATAATTTTTCCCACTATTTTATTTTGCATTTTTCAAGCACATACTAATGTTGAATTGGACCCTGAACACCCACATGGCCACCTTTCATCATCCATCCTTAACAGTTACTCGGCTTGTCCTTTCACGTTCTGACCCATCCAATCTTCTAGCCTTCCATCCATATTCTTCTGGTTTCAAAATAAATTTAAGAAACCTATAGGCTTTATCTTAAATCACTCATCTTATAATTCATTAACTGCAGCTCAAAATTACTTGGCAGTTTATAAAATACATCAACAGTGGAGCTTAGGCATGTGCTGTGGCCCTTACTGAGTGTGACGGGGCATTTGCTTCTGTGCCCCACGCTTGCCAAGGTGTGTTATGCTGCCCTCGTCCCAGGGGACCCTATTGTGCTCCTGCCAGCCTGTCTCCACCCCCATCCCAGAAACAGCCCTACCGGATTTTTTCCTGATTGTACTTGCCTGTTCTAAAACTTCATAAAACCGTAATCATGCAATATTAGTTGGCTTCTTTCACCCCTTATGGTTTGTGGATTCATGTAACATATATTTTTGTTTGTTTTTCCTATTATATGAATATACTATAATTCCTTCATTTATTCTTTCTGTTGAAGAATTCCTACAATGTTACCAGTGAGCTGCTGTCAGCTTTTGCAGTTGCTGACATTTTTGTCATCAGCTAAACTCCTAGAATTGCAATTCCCAAGTCATAAAATACAAAATTCTACATCTGCTTCAGAAAAAAAAAACATTCTTGCAACTTTTACAAAACTAGACCTTTTCCTACATGGTTGTGATATCTGATATACTCATCAGAATTGTGTGAGAGTTCTAATTTTCTCTCCATGTGCAAGATTATTTGGTATTGTTATTGAAAAAAAATTAGCCATTGTGCTGGACGTGGAGATGTAGCTCATTTTGTTTCCCAAGGATGTAAACAAAGCGATGACCTTCGATGCAGAGACGGTCCTCCTGGCTGGCCAATAGGAGCAAGAAATGGTTCCGACTGCTCTTTGTCAGTCACTCGGCTGCTGTTGCTGAGAGCGTGTTTGCAGGTCTTCTATACCAAACTTTGCCTTTAACAGATAAAGACTCCAAATGGTGACAGATATTAACACAGCAACAGAGCTAGAGTTGGAAGTCACTGTCCCTGGCAGTCTTAGAGTTGGCAGCAGCGGTAGGTAAGCGTTGGCGTCCCCTGAGGCCAAGCCGCTGCAGGGACCCGCCCTGGCCTCAACTCCTCACAGCAGCACCCTAAGCTGGTGTCAGGGCGTGCATGCGAGACCCACCACACCGCGTCCTGTGTGACTCAGAGGAGCCGCCTGCTCTGCACTGGCCCTGAGCCGTGCATACAGAGAAGGATGCCCCAGCCAGGGGGAGTGTGCATCTTTTTAGACTCCTTTCCTTCTGTGTAATTCAGCAAACAGATAAAAGGTGTCTGATGCTAAAGGCAGTATCTCGCATCTTGCCCAACACTAAGCATCAACCCTTAGCTCTATAAGATACAGCTAAAGGATGTGAAAGCAGGATAAAGATGAATATTGGCTCAGAGGCCACATCAGACATGTGAGCTGGAACGCCACTTGCGTGCTGCTGAGGGAGCAGTGACTGCTGGCTCTGGGCATGCTGCAGGTGCTGTGTGTGCATCACCCCCACGGGCTGCTGCGCGCGGCCCACACGCTCCCTTCTGGGGCAGCTGGCTGCGCTGCGCTTCACCCTCCCCAGGTCGTCCTGAGTCAGCCCAGAAGCTGTGGCTTCTCTTCCCCTTCCCCTTCGGATCAGGCTCCTGCTGTTACGTCTTTGTCTTCCTAACAATAGAGGCCTTGCTAGAGCCTGAGCCCCAAGGCCCCGCTGAAGAGTAGCTCCTCTCAGGGCCTGCCCCTCCTCTGAGCCGCATCAGCTTCTACCAAGATCCTAATTTCCTGGGGGAAATACAGTTATTTGATTTCTCCCTTTAACCTTGAAAAGTAGCTATGATAGGAAACAGAAGAGGACAAAAATTAACTATATTATAACAGTTAAGTACTGTATTATCTAGACTTAATAAAAGTGATAAAGTGCATTGATTTTTTTTTTAATTATTGATGCATTTTAGATATATGTAACGATAACACTCATCTTTGGGGGTTTGTACCTGAACGTGATAAATCTTGCTTCTTCCTTTTCCCCCATTCCCTTCCCTTTCGTTCAACCCTTCTTCATCTGTTTATGGAAAACTAAAGTCCATCGTAGAACCACACGTCCAATTCATGTATAAATGTAGATATAAGGACATCTAGTATATTGGAATGATAGTGCGCCTAGGGTAAGGGATAGAGGAGTAAGAAGACTGTATCACTTCTCTGAAAGGGCCTACAAGCTAGTGGAATAAGGATGAAGCTGCAAGTGACATTAGATATGGAAGAAGAAAAGAAATGATCTTCTAGTCCCAGAGCCTACAGGACCAGATTTCAAAAGATGCTTCTACTTTGCCCTGGGAGAAAGAACAGAGCAACATGAAACATCGGAAGTGTTAGGGCTCATGCCTATTCCCCAGGACTTGCAATTTGGAGTGTTGATTAAGTGTATTAATATCCTCCTGGGCCCTGCAAGAATGATTAGCGTCAGGAAGCTGAATGAAGAGTCACCCCCCACCCCGCCCCAGCACTTCTGGATCCCTTGGGAAGAGTGTGCTAGCGGGTCTGCCTTGTCCTGAGATTTGCAGGCAAGGAAGGGACTCTGATCCTGCCAGGACTGAGTGGCCCTGTCCCTTCTTCCCACAGCCCCTCATCACCCTGGACAGCAGCATTTCCTTCACTTTCCTGGCAGAGGGAACCAGCTCCATCACGGTCCAGGTGGCTGCTGGGAACGCCCTGATCCAGGACACGAAAGACATCGCCGTCCACGGTAAGCGGCAGAATGGCCTTTGAGGGGCCTCTTGCCCACCAGTTTCCTTTATAATTTTTTTATTGATGTATTTTAGATATACACGCTGATAGCACTTGTCATCACCAGGAACTTGTCCATCAACCTGATACGTCTTGCTTCTCTTTTTCCTATTGCCTTCCACTCCCTTCAGCCCCCCTTCCCTGTTTATTTACAAAAGCTTTGCTTCCATTTTTCCTTTTATTCTCTTATTGTCCCTCCTTTCCTTTCCCCCAACCCTCTCCCTTGTTCCCCTTCTTATCTGAATATTTTGTTCCCCTTTGCTAATACCTATTATGCACTTTGGTCTTTATTTACACTTGCAGTTTCTCACACGGAGAGAAACAACACAGTATTTAAACCTGTGTGTCCGATTTATTTCACTTAAAAGTAGGATCTCCAGTTAGCTACAAATGTCTCATTTTGTCCTTTATGGCAGAGTAGTCCGCCACTGTATAAAGGGACTCATGTCTTTCTTATCTGTTCATCTGCTGAGGGTGAACATTTGGGCTAGTTAAGATTTAGTTACCCTAAATGTTGCTGTTATAAACGGTTGTCCCTATATTGCTGTGGTGTGATGTGTTTAATTCTTTTGGGAAGATACCAACAAGGACAATAACTGGGTCGGATGGACCTCTAGATTTAGTTTTTTGAGAAATTGCCACACTGACTTCCACAGTGGCTGCACCAGGCTGCATGCCCACCAGCAGAGGAGGGGGGCTCCTTTTCCCCGCAGCCCCACCAGCAGTTGTACTTGGCTGTTTGCCCGATAACAGCCATTTTTCCTGAGCGCTCTGGCCACTCCGTGTCCTGTGGTGGCTGCTCCGTGTCCCATGGTGTCTGCACCACAGCCTGCCTGGGGTTCCTAGCAGGCAGGTATTGGGAGTCGAAGCAGTGCCATGCTGGGAAGAAGCTAGACCTGCTCGTATTTCTTCAGCTTTACCCCGATGATTCCTTTTATTCCACCTTTCTGGAAACTTGCTAGTAGGATTCTTTGTGGGGTACAGGGAAGTTTTCTTTCAAGTTTAAAAAAAATTAATAATTTTATTGAGAAACAAATAGCAATGAGACAGTTTCAAAACCAATCAGTAGGATGGTTTCAAGGATTAATGCATTGCATATGGCTGTCTTCTTAGTGGTTGTTCATAGTACAAGATGCAGACATGATATCCTGTCCACAAACACTATTAGTACAAATCCTTTCATTGAAGTCACAGACCTACCGAAAGACGATGCAGCCATGCCGGCCCCGCCTCCGGGACGTGGGGAGATGAGACTGGGCGTGGTGACATGTGCCTGTAATCCCAGCACTTGGGAGGCTGTAAACAGGAGAACCACTACGAGTCTGATCTAGTAGTGAGACCCTGAACTCCCTGTAGACCTTTCCATAAAATACCAAAAAACAAAAAAAAAAGAAAGGCCCAGGCGGATCACAAGGGTCTAGCTTGATGGACGATCACCAAGTGAGCAAACCTGCGCACTCCTAAGCTCGGTGAAGAATCCGAATGCTTCCCATACAGCAGAGACAAGGTTACAGCCTGCTTCCGCTTCCTCTGAAGCCGCCTCTAAGAGAGCACAGGGCCTGGAGCAGGCAGCGCTAGGGGAGGCTCAAATAGCTTGCCTTTCTCTGAGAAGCACCAGCTAGGCTGAGCACAAGGGGTGGGAGCCCTCCCCTCGGCCTGCGGTGGCAGAGCTGTCGCCCGGTGCGCTCACCCACCGCCAGCACATTCTCTCCCCCTCTCTCTGCAGAGTACTTTCAGTCCCAGCTCTTGTCCTTCTCCCCCAACCTGGATTACCACAACCCTGACATTCCCGAGTGGCGGCAGGACATCGGAAATGTCATCAGGAGAGCTCTGGTTAAAGTAAGTGGCCTTCGAGAAATGGACGGGACGGTGTGAGCGGCATCGCTTTTTAAGCAAATTAAACACTTTTACAGATAAAAATTATTTCTGAAAAGAAGAAGAAAAGAAAAGAGGGAGTGAGGGAAGAGGGGAGGGAGTGAGGGAGGGAAGGACTAAGGCCAGGAAGGACGGAAGTTGGCGCACAACTTACTCTGTGTATGTCTGAGGCCGGAGTATCATGGCGCTAACGCACAGAGGGTGGGCTCATGTGCACTTGGCTTCTAGGTCACCTGTGAGTAGCCAGGTAGGCAGGCTTGCCAGCCCCCATTGGGCACACATACAGAGGGCTTCAGGCCAACAAACAGAGGTTAGAATTACTCAGAAGTAGTGTCTGCCTAAGAGAAAGGAAAGGAATCTTGCTTGTTAAGCCTCTCAGAGAGACACAATAAAATGTAATGATTAATGAAATGCATTCAATTCAACTGTAAACACGAGTCTAGTGTGCAGTTAGTTCTGTGTCAGAGACATGGGCAAGGTCTCCAAGGGACAGGGAAGAAGTGTGATTCTCCTGCTGTGGGAAGGGCAAGCTTGGGACCAATTTGCAACTCATAAATATTTATCAAGCCATTGAAATGTTGGAGGGCCTATCTGCACTGTGTTCTAGAGGTTATGTGTCCCTTACCACGAGGGGACAGTGTCTTCAAGGCAGAGCTGAAAGGGTGCACACTTGGGAAGTGGCCTAGAGCCTGGTGTCACTCATTTGCCACTTGCCAGAGTAAGCCCAGCTACAGTTTTGCTAGAGGTTTGGGCCAGATTGTGAAGGACTTGTTTCTCTGAAGAGTGCCGCTCTGGGTCCTGCAGGTGGTGACACTTTATGTAAGAAAGGGGATGCTGTGGACGCCCATTGTGGTGGCAACAGAGAGGAAACACTCCTGCAAGGACGGGCGAGACATCTCACAGGAGATGGCAGTTATCTTGGGCAGGCACGACGAGATGCCGAGGAGGAAGGAGGAAAGGACCTTGGGAAGCCGCGCAGTCAGGCGGTGACTGAGAGTCCGCATGTGTGCGAGGAAGGAGGCTTCTGTGTGCTGGAGTGGGCCGCAGAGGCGGGATGTGGCCTTGCCGTTAGCCAAGGCAGTTCGGGGTAGCCGACATCCTGCTGAGGGACAGTAACGGTTTGGTATTTGAAGAAGATGAGAAATGATTGGGTGAAGGTGGCCAGGAGAGGTGGCAATAGGGTGAAGGTGGCCAGGAGGGTGGAAATGGGGCTCAGGCCACGCAAAGGGGCACGCTGGGGGCACGCGCTTGAGAGCCGAGCGACTGGGGCTCCTCGAGGAGACTTACGATCAGGAGAGTCACGAGAGGCAGTGCTCCCCAAGGTGGAGGTCAAAGGCCCAGGGAAAGCTCTGCAGGAGGCGCTGACCGAGTATCGCCTGCAAAGGCAGCCGCAAATCATTGCATGGGAAGGAGGTGCAGTTGAGACGGCGACGTGTGCTGCCTCAGTCTACTCAGGAGGCTGGAGTCATATGCATGACAGAAACGGATGTGTCGTGGGGGCCGAGCACATGGACTCACAGGAGAATGAGGGCCTCACATGCCTGGGGTCCTCAGCACCAACCAAAGAGGAAATTTGTGTTTCATAGCTGCAAGGCACACAGCAGAAACGGAGGCACTGGTAGAGTGAGCGTCATGACTCCCAGGTGACACCTGCTTGCCGTCTCCCCACGTGGAGGGAAGAGGATGATGCAGTTCTTTGGGACCTTTTTTAAAGGCAGTAATCCCATCCCCAAGGGCTCCCCCATCATGAATTGATCACTTGCCAGAAACCCCACCTCCTATCACCACCACGTTATCGCATAGGTGTTAAACATCCACATTGTAGGAGGGACACAGACATTCAGACCACAGCGTATGTGGTCTGGCCTGTAGCATGCAGAGTTGTGCTGTGTTTTGTATGATTGCATTCATTAAAACTGACTACCTTTTGGGGGGTGAGAAGTAATTGGGTGATTATAACACTACTACTACTAAATCAATATAGGCATGTCAGTTGAGCTTAAGCCTTAGATCTCAGTAGTACAGATAGTGGCACATGGCTCAGCACAGGCTTGACAGCCTGCAGGTGCACAGCTAGAAGGCCCCGCACCAGTCACTCAGTGACTGTCCCCGAGTCCCTGGTGAGGCACGGGGCACACTGGCCAAAGGCACTGGGAGCTCATCCCCCTCCACTCTGCTCAGCAACAGGTGGGAAAAAGAAGTGCAGGGAAGACTCACTTCATTCTTAGTCATCTTTTAATCAAGAATTTGTCTGCAGAGAGAAGCTAACAGTTAAGTTTTTATCATAGGAGCAATGTGAGCTTTTTACTAAACACCCAGGAAGGGAAATAGTCACTCGTAATCTCAGCTCTTAACAGGTTCTTAGTATTTTGGGACTTTTCCTATATATTAATTTTTAACTTTTAAAAATACAATTCTTGGGGCCGGGGAGATGGCTCAGTAGAGTAAGCGCTTCCTTGGCAAGCACAAAGGCCTGAGTTCAATTTCTGGTTTCACCAAAAAAAAAAAAAAAAAAAAGTAATCCTTCCCCCAGGCCTGCCATGCTGGCCCTGCCCCCGGGGTGTGCTGAGATGACTGGGCGTGGTGGTGCCCACCTGTAATCCCAGCTCTAGGGAGGCTGTAAACAGATCGATCACTACAGGTCCGATCTAGTAGTGAGTGCCTGAACACCCTGTAGACCCTTCCCTAAAATACAAAAATTATTAAATAAATAAATAAATGCAATCCCTGTTGCCTTAAAAGACTTTTGTCTGTTGCTTTTTCCTTGTATTTTTAATGGGTTGTAGCCAAAGGACTTCGGGATGCAGCCGGGCTGCAGAGCCCCCGCAGGGCTTTCCTGCCCGCCTCCCAGCACTCCTTGGCACGCCGCAGCTGGAGGAATGTTCTGGCAGGTGATTCTGCTTATCTCAATATATTTGCAAATATCTGAATTTTGCTTATTTACTCACTATTCTAAATAATGGGGCATTTTCCCTCCATGCGGCTTTTCCTATATTTTACATCATGTCTTTAGGGCTATCTCACCAAGTTACAGTGATGGAATGAAAGATGTGACTATTTTTATGGCCTTAAAGTAAGTCATGTAGAAAACAAATTGGCAAAATGTATCAATTTTTAGTGCTGCCAGCAATAAACCAGGGAACCTCTTTACTGCAGCTGTACTAGCGTCAACCACTAAACCTAAAAAAAAAAAAAAAAAAGGTTTAATAAGAGAAAACAAGTGCTCCCCTATTTTTTAATTTGCATTTTCCCGTGTTTGTTTATAACTGCTTATTCCTCACTTGCAGCCAGTCTGTTCCTGTTTTACCCAGGAATTTCCATCCTCTTAGTATGGAAAAATGGAAAATGTGGGAGAAATGTTTGCAAATTCCCCCAGAAATAATGTTTAGCAAATCATTTATACTGTCATGGAATTTTAGGAAAAATACATCCAGGGGTACAGGAAGGGGTGGGAACAGTGATTCCTCACCCAGAGGTCCTAGAGAAGACAGAAGGGAACCTGGGTGTTCCTAAGTGCGGAGCGGGAGGCCTCGAGGGCCCTCGGGGCTGCGTCCTCTGCCTTGCGCTCTGACGCGGGCGTGAGCAGAGCCTGCAGTCCTGCCCGACCTTACGCTCCCCTGCGGACACCGCGCAGGTCACCAGCGTCCCAGAAGATCAGATCCTCGTCGCCGTCTTCCCCGGCCTCCCCACCTCCGCGGAGCTATTCATCCTTCCCCCCAAGAATGTGACGGAGAGGAGGAAAGGCCACGAGGGGGATCTGGAGCAGGTGAGTGAAGAAGGCGGGGCGGGATCTGCCTGCGTCCCCCCTTCGGGTTGTTTCCAGCCCTGTGCTCTGTGCTCAACACCTGGGCTTTTGAGGAGCAAAAAGCTCACCTAAAAGAGCTGAAGCACTCAGCTGTCCACACAGGAGCAGCACCTGGCATCGTTCATTCTAATGGCTGGCATCCCTGACCCTTGGTCCTCTGGCCTACCTCCTAGTGAGTGCTACTGGGGTGGGGTGGTAGAGAGCGACAGAGACAGAGAGACAGAGAGAGAGAGAGAGAGAGAGAGAGAGAGAGAGAGAGAGGCAGACAGACAGACAGACTCTCGGAGAGGAAAGGAAAAATAGAAACCTGAGTGTTGCTCTTCTTGGGAATGTGCACTTCTTGTCTTTACTTGAACTGACCGTAGAACTGACCGTAGAGATCCTGGCCAATTTAAGTTCGCTAATGGAGAGAAAATGAACAGTTTTTAAATAAGTTGCTTTGGAGAGATGGATTGCCTCATCTTAAAAGTGTTTCCCAAAGTGATTGTGACTCACTGGCCTTACAAACTGGGCGCACAGTCCCTGTGATCTGCCCACGATCCTACAAGCACAGGAGCAGCCCGTGGACTCACCTCCCTCTCCTCCTCTGCCAGGTCCTGTTGGCTGTGTCCTGTGCCACTTTTCCCCTCCCTTCCCAGGATGCTCAGTCACAAGAGGAGAAACTAGGTGTGGCTCAGGCTGTTCGAAGTTAGCATAAAACGGGCTGGCCAGATAGCTCAGTGGAGTAAAGCGCCTGCTAGGGTTAGATCCCCGGCCTGCCGTGCTGGCTCTGTCCCCGGAACATGCTGAGATGGTGATTGAGACTGGGTGTGGTGGCATGCACCTGTAATCCCAGCACTTGGGAGGCTGAAAAACAGGAGAATCACTATGAGTCCTATCTGTGTGCTGAGACCCTGTAGACTCTGTACTAAATACATTAAAAAACCAGCATAAATCAAAGCTTTGCTGCTGTGTGCAGTGGTCATCTCACACTCCCGAGTCCCTCGCATGTCCCAGCACCTCTACACCCACCCACGGTCCTCACGCAAGCAGCTGCTGCTACAGTCATTTCTCTGGAACAAGGAAGTTTCTTTGTCAGGTTTCAGGATCGCCTGTGAAGCTGGCCAGAAATAAAGTCAGCTTCCCAACGCATGCGTCATTTTATGAGACCGCTTTATTTGGAAATAGCAAGCGGCCATGTGTGAACTATATTTGGAAGCGACACTATCCATCCATTTAGATAAATAGGTAATTACGGTGATGAATGGCAGCTGTGATATTAAGGCGCACAGAGCGAGATAAGAGTTGGGGACAACAGCCCGAGTCGGCCTCCGCTTTCTTGTGGGAATTAGAGAGTGATTAAATCGATGCCATGTGTTCTGAGCCTTGCTGGGGAAAGGAAAGAGGGAAAATTATCCTCTAAAAGGGAGGCGGCTTCTGCTTTGATGTTTGCCTCCCGTTGCGTCTTAGATGAAAAAACACAGAGCCACGGACTGAGTCTGGACGCGGCTGCTCTAATCCCAGCGGGACGTTCCTCGCCCTGTGGGCCTTGCTTGATCAGATTAAAGAGCTGCTGATGAGTTCGGTTTCTTTCACTGGAGCCCACAACAGGTCTCGGATTATGGAAGGACATACAGGGAGGTTGGCCAAGCGAGGAGCTGAAGGAAAGGGTCTCAGCTGCCAGAGCTCCGGCTTGGCCTCGGGGTGGACACGCCTCTGTCTCTTCTCTCCATAACCCTTCCTTGGCTGCCCTGGGTCCAGGGACTGTGAGAACCAAGGTGGCATCCTGGGTCTGTCCCAGTGTTCCATCCTTGGTTGACTCTGGTTATTTATTGTTATTTTTATCTTTTGGTAGCAAACGCGTATGGGAGAATCATCACTCCCTGTGTCCTCTCCTGCAGCCTCTTTCTTCTTTTCTAGATCGTGGAGACCTTGTTTAATGCTCTGAACCAAAACTTGGTCCAGTTCGAGCTGAAGCCTGGGGTCCAGGTCATCGTGTATGTCACCCAGCTGACATTAGGTGAGTACTTGGTGGGAGTCGGGGGACCTGGGTGTCTGAGTTACTTTTGTCTCATAGCTGGGACAAAATACCCCATACTTAAAGTTAAGGAAGGAATGGTTTCTTTAGTTCAGTTTGTGGAGGCTTCAGCTGGCTCCAGGGTGGCTGCTGCAGGGCAATAGTTCAAGGTGGCAGAAGTCAGAACAAGCAGCAAGTCGGGCGGGGGAGAACAAGCCTGTTTTGCTCCCTGAATTGTAAACAGGCTACCCCCTAGCCCCCAAGGTGGGTGTAACATTCACACCATCTCTGCGCCCTGCCTTTTCCACAAGCTCAGCATGTCTACAAAGTGAGGACCCTGGTCCCCTGCTGGGTCACTTTGTTAAACTCCTAAACTTCTCAAGGTGACACAAAGTGTCAACCATTACAATGGGGATGATGCTCTGTCCCGAGAGAAAAGGGAAGAGAAATCATGGAAGACACTTCCCCCAGTGCCCAGGAGTGGTGCTGTAAGGAGAACGCAGGTACGGTGAAGGTTCAGGGAGGTGGATCCTGGCTCTCTGGAGCCACCTGGAGAGGAGCCGGATGAGCTTCTTGGGCGTAGCTCTGCTGTGAGATCCTAGGGCACAGGGGACAAAACCTACCACTTCTTCAGCCTTGACTTTCTGTATGTACGTGTTTGCTTTATTTGCAACAGTCTGGGTTATGCTGGGAAGTCTTCAGGCTTTGCCTGATTCTCCAATTCCGTGAATGTCAGCTGGGAGGTCAGATCAGAAAATGTGACTCTAGGCACAGAGAGAAACTGGCTCTAGCTGGTTCCATTAGGAAAGGAAGAAAAGGGCAAATCCCTTCGTGCATTTGCTTCCGGCTGTCAGGAACAGCCCGCTTCTTAAGCGGTTCTTGGTAGCAACCCGCTTCTCAGACATGGAGGCTCCAAATGTGCCCGTCCAGGGTATCTTTCCAGAACAGTGTAGAAGAGGAGAGAGAAGCACTGTGCTAGCATTTGTCTCACGGCTCCCAGTGCAGTGTCACCCTGCCACATAAACCATCTAAGAAAATAAAAGCGCATGCAAGCCCTTCCACTTCCCCAAGCTGAACGCACCTTCTCGGCTCATGGCGAGCGTGCACGTCTCCCTGGATACCTGGAGGATGTAGCTTCCTCCAACACACTCTCCTCCCAGAGAAGCTGAGGTGGCTGTGTCCCAGGCACACGCAGGGCTGCCAAGACCTGCGAGGAACAGCGTGTGCTGCTGCGCGGGTGCCCAGCCGCAAGACTCCAGAGTGAGACCGTTTCTCCCTCGTTGCAGCCCCGCTGGTGGACACGAGTGCTGGCCACAGCAGCTCAGCTGTGCTGATGCTCCTGTCGGTGGTGTTTGTTGGCCTGGCTGTCTTTCTGATCTACAAGTTTAAGAGGTACGTGCTGCCTTATTCAGTTCTTATCTGGGGCGGTTGTGCAGACTTGGTGGCCTCTCTGTGGTCCCCAGAAGAAAATGGTGGGGTGATTTAGAAAATAAAGACAAGAGACCTGCTGGGCAAAGGCCCCAACACGACAGGAGGGTGTTTACGTGTACCTTTGCGAAGTGAGCACCATGAGACACCAGGTTGCCAGCAGCTAGTGTCCAGGCCGAATGCTTTGCTCAAGACCGAGGTAGCTCGGCCGTCTTGGACACTGGGGCCCTGCCCTGCCCTCACGGGTGACCGATTTTCGGCTGCAGCAGCTCCCAGCAGGTGAGGATCATTGCACGTGGTCCTTCCTACAGCCAACAGCCTTAAACTCATCTTGAGAATGCGGTCTTTCTTACCTGACAGCTCTGTTTGGCAGCATGGAAAGGCAGGAAGCAGCAGGTTTGGACTGTGAGATCTCTACAGTGTGTAGGTGTGATGCAGTAAGACCCTGAGAACCACCCTGGGAGGCCCGTTTATGGTCCTCAAGAGAAGCACAAGGGGGCTTCAGTCATCACCCAGATGTCTAAAGGACAGTCTCTGGTAGTTGGGAGAGATTTCAAAACATCTTGGTGGTTCTATTAAAAGTAGAAGAAAAAGCTTATGAAGCTGCTACTGTTGTGTGTGGGGCTTCTCCTGTGGCGGCCGGGCAGCCTGTTCACATTCACGAGCTAAGTGTTTGGCTTTTGTGTTTCTCCCTCTTTTTCCTGTTTCTGATGAAAACCGATAAGGAAAATCAAGCACCACTGGATTTAAGAGATTATTGAAGACTAAGCAGGGATGACACAATGATGTACCTACTAAAAACATGCCAGTGCATACTGACGTGTCCCTGCACACCCGTACTCTAGGAGGCCGAGGCAGGACAATGTCAAGTTGTAACCCACGCTGGGCGCTTAGTGAGCTCCTGTCTCCAAGAATAAAATTTAATAAAGACTGGAGGTATAGCTTAGTATGGAGGCTCTGGGGTTAGTCTTCAATACAGAAAACACCACGGAATTTAATCAATAAGTCTGTACTAGTGTTGAAACTATGTCCTGTTTCTCCCAGCCAATGAACAAGCTGAAAGTATGAACTCAGAAATCAGACAGACTCAATTTTAGTTTTTTAGATTTGGCAATTTATTTGGGCACCTTTATGTGCCTCATCTAATTTCCTCATTTGCAAAATGAGTAAAACAATATTATATAGGGTTTTTTTTTTATAATTTCGATATAATAATAGCCACAACTGGTATAGGCCAAATAACTGAGAAATTGTAGACTTCCTAAATCTCGAAGAGCATGCCTTCCAAAGGTGCCTTCTATGTCCCAAACTGGCACATAGTTGACTCAAAAATGATGCCAGTGGCATAACAAAGTGCTCGGAGGAAGCCTGGGTGGAGTACAAAATACAGATAATTATCCTCAGATGAGTTTTAAAAACACAGCTTGCTCCCAGGAATCTTCCTGGGCCTTGAGGTTAAGCCCTTCAGGGTTGGGAAGAGATTCCTGGAGGAGGCCGCGGGGTTCCTGCACTCCTCTGCAGCTCTCCTCCAGGTTATCTTAGTCCCTTGGAAATGCCAGTTCTGGTCTAGCTACCTCTCAGGGTCAGCTTCAAGGGCAGGAAATTTTCAGCATTTCTCCATGCGCACTAGGAGGAGAGAATGAGATTTGCCTTGTTGGTCAAATTGTAGGCATATATATGAGTGAGTTCCTGTCCTTTGCGCCTGAGAAGGATCAACCTGCCCCTGTGGCTTTTGAAGAGAGGCAAAAGCTGTATGTCACAGTCACAAAAGGTTCATTATATGAACGACTGCGACAAAAACCCCAGCTATGGATGCGGTATAATTTCATGCCGAGAAGACTTTCACTTGTCCCAGGGCTTGATTGTGAAGAAGCCTGGCGATTGCCAGGGTTTGAAAATCAGCTCAAGCCATTGATTGCCTCTAGCACAGAGCACTGCCTGGGCGGTGGGGACAGAGGCCAACAGAATTCCTGCAAAGCAGCATTTACACTCGCTGTGCACCCCCCAATGAAAGCACAACTTATCCTGGGACTCACAAAGTTGCTTCTCTTTGTAATTGCTGCCAAGCTCCCAGGACAGTCAGTTCATTACTCCAGGCACCTCTAAATATGTTCAGTTTAGTACATGATTTCATGCCAGGTAATGCTGTCTCTGAACTGTTGTACTCAGTTATCAGCCGGTCCTTTCTCTCCTCCAAGATCAGAGCCCAGAGCTACAGGTACAGGAAACAAATGTCAGTCAAGACAGATAAATAGCAGAGTCAGCTGCAAGTGACGGGTTATCCACCAAACTTTACTTTATAACCCCTTGTTTTAGAAAGTTGCCTTCTCAGCGCTGAAGACATTTGGTTGAGATTCTGTTGCATTTTCTTTTCATTCTTTGGTCTTCTTCCTGCTCCATCCTGTAGAACCCCAATGGGTCATCTCTAGCATGTCTAGCTTCCTACAAGGAAGGAGCTCACAGGTGGGGCATGGTCGTGCACACCTGTAATCCCAGCTCTTGGGAGGCTGTAAACAGGAGAATCACTACAAGTCCAACCTAGTAGTGAGCCCCTGAACACCCTGTAGACCCTTCCCTAAAATACCAAAAAAAGAAAGAAAAAGGAAGACACTTGTTACTGAGCAGTGTTTGCGCCTTTCGCTGTTGTCCCATAGCACTTTCTGCGGGAATGAATACGCTCTACAAGCCATTATAATACGTAGCCGCTGGTAGGATCAAGAGACTGGATTTTTAAGTTTGAGTTTTATTATTTCAAATGTAAGCAGGTTTGTCCGGCTAGCAAGCACAGTCCAGGGCAGTGATGGTGAACATTTTAGAGACTATAGCCCAAACCAACTTACTTATTACAAGGTGCTAGCATAATACTGCATGTGGAGCTTTTAATTCAGAAAATCTATGCATATCTTTTGTCTGAAGAGCAAAGCACACTCAGGCATAGGTTCGCCACTACCGGCCTAGGGGAAGGGCAGCTGTTTCCATTTCACATCATTGGCTCTGCTGAGTTTCCAGGATCGAACGTTCCTCTCTGTACTCACTGGCATTAACAGACATAAGCATTCATTCAGTGAACGTTCATTGAGTGCCAGCTCGGTGCCAGGCACTGGATCCCGCCCACCTGCCCCAAGAGCTCTCTTAGGAGGGGAGTTATGGCGATATTTAAGTAAATATCGCTCATCTACTTCTTGCGCTTCAGTAGTGGCTGCTGTCCCACCATCTGGCACTTTAATTACAAATCACTGTGAGCTGGCTTTTACGTGCTGAAAACTGCCTAGAAAGGCTTCCTTTCCATAACCATAGACCCCCTTTTTCTGGGTAACTAAGAAAACATTTGAGTTTGTCCGTTGCTTCTGATCGTTTTTACAGGAGGGACTTCATCATAGTTCTCAGTCTCCTTTATTTCCGGTCTTCTCACACGCTTCATAGCTGGAGCAAATGAACATAAACTGAAGCTTTTTGTTGTTTGTCTGTTAGCTTTCTTGGGAAGAAGTGGGTTTACTCACACTTCTCCTCTGTTTAAGCCTGCATAAATTGTGGCCCATGACATAGCCTTTGATCTCCTTGTGCAAAATTGTGGCCCATGACATAGCCTTTGATCTCCTTGTGCAAAAGTGAGGTTTAGATCGGACTTAGATCCTCAGAAGTCCTGCACTTAGGTGTGTTCATGAAAAGTAGCTGGGCAGGTTTTTATAATGTTGCAAATTGTGATATAAAATTCAGTCCCTTCCAACCACCTATTTAAGAAAGATGAAAACGTGCCTATTTTGAGATGTGTTTTTATAAGAGCTTGAAACAGACTGAGCAACTAGTATAAGGGTGAATTCCGTGATGCCTTGCTAAGGTCCTTAGCTAAGCAGGTAGGGAGAGCAGGGAGCCGCTTACAACTCGGAAGCACACAGCCTGTGTGATCAAGAAAATTCTGATGACTCCGACATCCTCATAGATGCTGTAGCTGATCCCAGCATTAGCGAGGAGAGTCTGCTTTTAGGGTTGGAGAGAATCTCAGCCGCCGGGCTGAATGCATTTCTATTTAGACAAGAAGATTGGAAGGGCCAGCATGAATGTGTGTAATTCTGATCGTTTGTTAAGGCTGCCACACATACAGCCTGTTCATTTCAAGCCTACTTAGTCATTTTAAACTGGTTTATACTAGTAGGAGTCACAGGGGTACATTCCTTAATTATGGGAAACAAATACCAAAGGCATGAAAAATGAACTTAAAGAAAAAGTTGAAACTACTCATGTTTCAAATGTATTTTTAGAGTGTTCTTTCAGAGTTAGCTTTATTCAGTGCTCACACATTTGGCTTCATTGAGTTTTTGAGTGAGGCAGTGAAGGCAGGAGTTTGAAAATGCCATTGTCTAGCACAAGAACAGCGGAGAGATTCTCCTGCAGCAGCCCATGGAGCGGTGCGGGTCGGGGTTGCAGGTGAGTGCCCCGCACGCTGATGTCAGCCTCGCTGTCACTGGCTCTGTCACGTTCTTGGACTTTGGTCCAGTTTCCACGTCACACGATGAGGTCAGAGAAGTATCTTCTAGAGATATTCCAAGGTAATAACGGAATTATTTTATTGGAGATTATAGTTTAACAGAATGCGCAGAGAACAGGCTTAGAATCAATTATGCTACAAATATGTGATAAGTATAAGCCATATGCCAAGAACTGTGCCAACTCAAGTAGGATAGCACTGAAGACAGAAAACACAGGCCTTGCCTGTAGTGTAGGGAGAGAGAGCTGCTCGCCCACGGTGGCTCTGGAGACAGCAGACGTGAATGGAGACAGGACTGTAGAGGAGGACTCACACCACACCTGCCCCCCTGCCCGCCCCAGGCCCGTCAGCCTTCTGCTTCCAGCCTACAGATTCTGCATCCGTAGCTCCTTCCCTTAACATTCCCTGCAGTCCTGAGAGGCAGGTTTTTCGTCCCCATTGAGCAGTTCCATGTGTTCAGGGAATGTGGCCCGATGCCTCACGCTGAAGATTGTAACGATGGCTTTGAGCCCGTTAGGCCTTGGGTGTGGATGAAAGCAGCCCCAGTGTAGCTTGATTGCGCTGATGCAATGTTTGAGAAATCAGTCTTTTCACCATGTATAGTGTTGTGCTTTGAAGTGCACTTCCTTCGAAAGCTTCCTCACAGGTAGACATATTCAGGACTTTACTGAGTAGCTGATCAGCACCTCAGCCCTTTTCCTCATACGTGTTTTACCCAACAAACGATGTGCTCTCAGTGTGTCCTGTGGTTCAGCCCTTCCCTGGGCATCTAAGTCTCAGGCAAGGCTTGCGTCTTGGCCTCATGGCCAGTGTCTCTGGGTGACCAGTCCTCTTCCCTCACATTGTCTCTTCCTGTTAATAACTCTGATTTCCACGGTCTCTGTTTGCTCTGTGTTAGCAGGCCCATAATCTTACTCTGGTTGTGTTCTTACCCACGTAGGAAAATTCCCTGGATTAACATCTATGCCCAAGTTCAACACGACAAGGAGCAGGAGATGATCGGGTCTGTGAGCCAAAGTGAAAACGCTCCCAAGATCACACTCAGTGACTTCACCGAGCCTGAAGAACTGATGGACAAGGAGTTGGACCCCCGGGTCATAGGTGGGTGTGCCTGTGTCCCCAAGCCCCCCCCCCCAAATCCCCAATCCTCTGTCCCTCCAGTAGCTGCTCAGCATCTGACACCAACTGTCCCCCATACAGCACAGCCTTGGAAGGCTGGGGAACTGGCAGGATTTCTCTCCTTTAGAATTCAATCATGATTGGAGGCACTGGGGTTATAGTGGGGGGAGGAGGAAACCTAGGGTCCTGTATTTGTGACTGCTCTCTTTGTTTCTATAAAGCAAAAGGACTGTGTGACCTTGCTTATAGTCCCATGAACACAGGATCTGGCAGTAGCCCTTGCTTTGCCACCCTGGTTGCTGTATGACCTCTTCATACTACCTATTCCTATACTGTGAAATGACAAGAATAAGACTGAGGAGTCTGCACAGTTGCCTTATGGGGCCTGAGAATTCATTCTAAGGCTGCTGTGGTAATTAAATGTCGCTGTGTCATTAGCACAATTACAGTCCTTGGCATTGTTACCAGTAAAGAGGACAGTCCAGGGCAGGCATGGTGGTACACACCTGTAATGCCAACACTCAGGATGCTGAGGCAGGAGGGTTGCCATGAGTTCTAGGACAGGCTGGACTGCATAGACAGTTAAAGGTCAGCCTGGACTATGTAGTGAGACTTTGCCTCTCAAAAAGAGGACAGTGACAGTCCACTGTACTGATTCTATAGTGCAGTGCTGTGGGCTGGCATGCGTCCAGCATGTGGGAGGCAAGCCGGCAAGCTCACAGGAGTGCCACCCAGCAGCCTTTGTGAGCACTTGCCGAGGCTGGTGTTTAGTAGGGCATGGAATAGGGATCGCTACCCTCCTGGGACTTACCACTGTCCTCTGTCTTTTCTCTCCTGCAGGAGGCATTGCGACCATTGCCAACAGTGAAAGCACAAAGGAGATCCCCAACTGTACCAGTGTGTAACACCCACAGCCACGCAACCACGCGCTCAGCCACCTTTCTGACATTTTATTTTTGATGACTTCTATTATTATGGAAAACTGAAAATGTCTTTTTTACCCTTTGTTCACCAAGGGCCCCCGTATACATAGCAGGCAGATACTTAGGTTTGGGAGAAAAGGGGATTCTTAGCTACCTGAAGTGAGACAAGAGGAGTAAATAGATATTTATGCTAGGGGTACAGATGCATCTTCCCATAGCCGCCTTGCTCTATTCTGGTATTGGTAGTGTGGAAACTATCTTTTGCGCTTCTCCTCTCCTCTCCTCTCCTCTCCTCTCCTC